ATATCAATATTAGTTGAGGACCCAGATGAAGGGTAAAGATTTCTCACAAAAGAAACAAAAATGCTTGCATTAAATTAAAATAAATTTATTGATTACTTATAAGTTATCGCTTCCTCGTAGAAATTGAGCTAGCCAGACAATTCAAATTAAATATACACTTTTCTTGCCTTTTTCCGGCAAATTAATTTATTACATCATCTATAGCTAAAGACGATTTCAGTTTTTCTAAAATTTCTGCCTCTATAGATAATAGTGACAAGTCTGATTCCGTTCCTGCCCCATCGAAGTCTTTAGGTAATTTTTTATCAGTTTTAATTTTGAAAAACTTCTTTCACCTGTTGCGATTGTAACTGGAAGGGTTCAGAATGGGAATCATGCTGTTATTACCTCCGAAAAACTGGATGCAAGACTATTGAATTTTATCAGCAATAATTCCATGAGTTTCTTAACGGAATGAATTTTTTGAATTTCAGATTTTAAGCATGTTTTCAGAGTAATTAATTGTTCATAAAGATTAACTCAGATGTTTCTATTGTATTTAGCCCACAGTTTTCCGGAAGCGTTTTTGATCACTTCGTTTGAAGAAAATGGGAGTTTCTCCGGTTGTAATACTTCCAACATCTTATTCAGATCACAAAGGCTCTGAAATCTTTGTTTATTTTGAGAAATTAATATATCTAAACAGCAATAGTATACATTGACTTTGAAATATGATTCCGAATCTGAAAACTCATCAAAAAATTTCTTCGCTATCTTTCGCCATTTATTTTTAAAGTTGTTACCCCTCCACTCTTTTGCTAAATCTCTGTACTCATTTAGTAAACCATTGAATGAATTTTGATTTCTTATTTCGCTCAGTCTATTCAAAAGATTACTTAATAAAATACTACCTTTTTGTACGATTTTCGTCCACTTCTGAGTGAAAACTCTATAGGCACGTTGAACAGTTTCTTATATATGTTTTTCCCGGGAAGCACGAGATTAAGTGACATTGTGGATAACATTTTACTAATTTTTGCTTACACATTAGGGGCCTCTGTAGCCTGGGGCCCTGTATCATTGATACGGTTGATACGGTAACCGCATGAACACCAGATGCTATCGACGAGTAAACATTGTTGGGTTTAATGAGGGCGACAAATTGTGATTCTATAATCATGTAAAATTTAAGTTTTAGTGTAGTATGATTCCCGATCCGACGGGACTTGAACCTTGACGAAACTCTAGTACAAACTAGAGTGGGTGGATCGGCTTGCGAGTTTCGATGATTTAGGGAGCCGGACCATAGGTTCAACCATAATGGAGGGGTTCTTAAAGAGAAACCAGACTAAGACAAGTCCCTGAAAGAGGGCAGCAGCTCTTCCAGTACTCAGGGTGGCAGAGATCACGAGGATCGGTATGGCACTCTGATGCACAATACTGCGATGTGGAAGGCAAAGGGGAAACCACCACATTATGATCTCAAGTAAAACGTTCAACTACTGAAATTAAATGATGGCGTCCTCTGGGGTAAAGCACTCCGGACGTAAACTAGTTCCCGGTTCGGATGTCCGGGCGGGGACTACCTCGGGGGATGTCATCAATAAGTGCAATAGCGATAGGTACAATGTTTCACGAGTCGGAGCGTGGAATGTTAGGTCAATGAGGCAGATAGGGAAATTAGAAAATTTAAAAATAGAGATGGATAGATTAGAATTAGATATAGTAGGTATAAGTGAAGTCCGTTGGCCCGAAGCTGGAGACTTCTGGAGTGGGGACTTTAGAGTAATACATACAGGATCTGAAGAAGATTATTCAGGTGTAGGACTTGTAATGCGTAGGAAAGTAGGGCAGAGTGTAGAAAGTTATTTACAAAAAAGCGATAGGATAGTTATGGTTAAATTAAACTCAAAGCCGGTAAGAACGGTATTAGTGCAGGTCTACATGCCTACATCATCTTACAGTGATGAAGACGTAGAAGCAGTCTATGCAGATATAGAAGACGTGTTAAGTTTCGTGAAAGGACAGGACAACCTAATAGTTTTAGGAGATTTCAACGCAGTAATAGGTGAAGGTAAAGTGGGTGCAATAGCAGGTTCTTTTGGATTAGGCAATAGAAATGATAGGGGAGATAGGCTGATAGAATTTTGCGATAAACATAACTTAACCGTCGCGAATACTTTATTCAACCATCACGCTAGGAGGCGCTATACGTGGAAGATGCCAGGTGATTTAGGGAGATATCAATTAGATTACATACTTGTTAGGCAAAGATTTAAAAATCAAGTGAAGGACTGTAGGAGTTATCCAGGAGCAGATATAGATAGCGATCATAATTTAGTAGTTATGAAGACCAATCTTAAATTCAAAATTCTGAAAAAGAGGGCAGGTAGGAGACGTCTCGACTTAGAAAAGCTAAAATGTAACGAAGCGCGTGATAGGCTAGGTAAAATGACAGACGAAATACTAATGGCGGCTGGAGAAACGAATGACGGGGACATAGAGACAGAATGGAACTGCATTAAAACGTGTCTAAAGTCAGCAGCTACAGAGGTACTAGGTCTTAAACAAAACGAAAGTAGGAAACCCTGGATAACAAATGAGATTGTAGGATTAATAGACGAAAGGCGGAAATACAAAAACAGGACAGACGAAGAAGGGCAAAAAAGATATAAAGCTATAAAGTGGGAAATAATTAGGAAGTGTAGGGCAGCTAAGGAACAGTGGATTGATAGGATGTGTAAAGAAGTAGAAGAAAAGTTTGAAGTAGGTAAAACCGATGAGGCTTATAATATAATTAAAAGGAATTTTAGAGATGTAGGATACAGTAGTAATAATATAAGAAACGAGGCAGGGGTCATGTTGATAGAAAATGAGGAAAAGGCAGATAGGTGGAAAGAATATTTAGAGAACCTTTACGCAGGCCCTGAGTTAGGAGATATATTAGAGAAGGAAGATTGTGTGGAAATAGATGAGCTTGGTTATCCCATAATGAGAGAAGAGTTCGATGTAGCATTAAAAAATTTAAAGAATAATAAGGCGCCAGGTGTAGATGGGATACAGGGGGAAATTCTAAAACATGCAGGACAAGAGGTTAGAGATCGTATGTTTAAGTTAGTTAGTCACATTTACGAAACGGGGATAGTCCCAGAGGATTATAAACGGAACGTAGTAGTAACATTACCTAAGAAGAGGGGCGCGGATAGGTGCGAGAAATTTCGAACAATTAGTGTAATTAGCTTAACTTCCCATGCGTCAAAAATCTAGAATTGTATAGAGGAGGATGGAAAAAAGGGCGGAAGAACTATTAGGGGCCATTCTAGCATTAAGGGTAGCAATAGAGAAAACGATAGAAAAAGGAAAGACTGCGTACATAGGATTTTTAGAGAAAGCCTTTGACAATGTTAAATGGGACAAGATGTTAAATATACTTAAAAATGTAGGGATGAATTACAAAGATAGAAGAGTGATACTTAGTTTGTATAAAGAGCAACAGGCAGTTATAGAGCTGGGGATGCAACGTAGAGAAGTAAATATTAGGAAGGGAGTCAGGCAGGGATGCACACTGTCACCGCTACTTTTTAATCTATACATCGAAGACGCCANCTGTCAAATTTTGAGCCTGTAATAAAAAAATAAAAATTTCCTCACGCACATTCATACGCGCATTGTTATCGACGCACTGACACTAGCTTACACTTGTACACGGACTCACACATGCAGCCAGTCTCACGTACGCCTATCCCTTCTACTACGTGAGGAGCCGAGTGCATCACTAGCGTCTCACTCTCGCGTCCCCTACCACCTTCCCACTCACTTTTTATTCTTCTGTAGCGCGCTTCTGATTGGTTACTTTCATTAATTAATTACTAATTATCTACTTTACAAAAAAATTTCAAGCATGGATTTTTGGGCTCAGAATTTTTTTCTCTTTCGATCCCAACAATTGGGTGCGCGACTTCTGAGACACCCAATATAATGAACGATATGTTTAATAACAGATACATGAATTGCTTTAACACCTCTCAATTTATTTTTATAATTCGATTATTTTCATAATTTCAGAATTCAAGAATATGGTACTTATTTGAGTTACACTTTAGATCTTTAAATAGTTATCTTACCATTGTTGACACCTTTGTTAGTAGCTAATAACGTTTTTGAAAAATTCCTAATTTGTCACATTAAGTATTGTAGCGAGCACGAGTGTGTTTGTGTGCGATCGGGCACACGTGTGCGTGAACGGCTTATCGATTCACCGACTAGCCGCGGGCGCCTTTCTTCATGTGCGCCGTATTTGTAAATGTGTGTGTCGTACCTTCGATCTGGAAAAGCCGTTAAACAGTTTAAAGAAAAAATTAACTATCCGGATGTTTCTAGAAGGGTCCCGAAAGTAAACAAAAGAGTATGTAAAGGAAGAGGCGATCGCCGAAAAATAAATTGACTGTTGCAGAAGTGAATCGGGAAATAAATTGACAGTGATCGCAGTGAAATAAATAGCGCAGTGAATAGTGATCGACAGTAGTGTGAATAAATAGAATAATTCATAACTAGAGTTTGGTAATAATTTAATAGTGTTCTTAAGTTCTTGAATAATTAGTGTAAATAAATAGTTTTTGTCGTTATCAGTCTTCGAAGTTAATTTTGTTAAACCCAGGAACATTACAGTATTATTATTTATTATTTACTTACCATAACTTTACAATGATAGGGAATTATAAAACGTATAGGTTTTGTAATTAATGTTTATGTGCACAGTTCTTTGTACCACTATAATGACCCAAGTAGGTAGCAACGGAAACTATAGAAAAAAGATTGCAAACAAGCGATAGATAAGTGAATCATGTTTACAATAATAAGATGAAGTGCAACTTAAAATAAATTCTTACTACTTTTTTATTTAAATTTAAATATGAATTCGAAAATTAATCATAAGACAATTATTCAGTCGAAAATAACTTTATTAAAAATAAAATGAACAATAATCACACATGTACAGGCAATATTTTACAATAATTTTATTATATGGTAGGAAGATGTTCAACATTGGATTTCAATTGACCTTGAAGAGTTTGCTTTAAAGGACTTTTATTATCCTTAAGTTGTGGTAAACACATTGTGTTACTGGAATGCTTAAAAAACATTATATGTAATACGAATTGTTTTGCTTTATTTAAATGTAATAAAAATCAAGGATTAATATTTTTGTTTTTATCAATACTTTTTAATTGCAAATGTCAGATTCTTACCCTGAATTTGTCTCTATTAAACCTAGTGTGGTTGTACTGATCGACTGAGTCGGTCCCTTTGAAATGAAAATTCTCAAAGTAGCTATGTTCCAATAATTGCTGACATGACCAACGCTTTTCTGGATCCTTATCTAAGCATCTCTAAAAAACAATGTTTCTCAGAGCAACGCATTGGGAAATCAGTAACTTACTTTGATGAAATCTAAAGCAATACTATTACACATGGGCAATTTAATTTCCAAAGGGTACATTTGTTGTGGAGTAGGTAAAGTGATTCCTTGAAAAAATTCGTTGTTTTTAAAAGCATACATATGCCTTGGAAGTAAATCTCCTATAGTACAGCGAATCAGATAAAGCTGATCCACGTCTGATTTTCCGGGCCATAAAGCTTCACCTTTTATAAGCTCTGCCAGCAAACATCCTACAAAATACATATAGGTTTGTTTGTTGCTTCAGTTTTAAAGGATTTAATTTTACTCGATGGATACAATGTTTTAGCATGTAGTATGTAAAGTAAATCAAAGTTCACAGAAAATATGATTGAAGCTAAAACTAATTGTAAAAACCAGATGGATAGATTTTAAAATTTAATTACGTTTATCGTCCAGATAAAAACTAATTATTTTGCTATAACTATGAAATAAATTCTATTCATGGGACACTTCCAAATATTGAAAAGAATCGTAAAAAGTTTCAGAAAAACAATTAAAATATTTTCCTCCTATAAAAACAATCGAAGAGGTTACAGAATTTAATTACCTAGGCTTCATATTGCATAGGAATAATGGAGTGGACAAGCACATTAAAAATCTGAAAAAGAAGACATTAAGTGTAATGGGATAAGTATGGGGAATAGGAGAAATAAACTTAAGAGATTGTTGAAAAAAGAGAATGCTTCTTTTCGAGACACTAGTAGAAAGTATACTAATGTATGGGGCAGAAATCTGGGGATGGGAAGAGAGAAAAGAAATCGAAAGTATTCAGGACAGATATATTAAATGGACACTAAAGCTAGATAAGAGCACTCCGAGATACCTTCTTCAGGAAGAAACTAAATATGAAATACTGACCATAAAATATTCAAAAAGGGCCTTAAAGTACGAAGAAAAAATATTAAATTCCGAAGGCAACGCAATACTAAAAGAATGTGCAAAAGTTAAGGACAATATTTCGGTCTTGCAAAAGGAAGAAAAGAAAACCACAAGGGAGAGATGGAAGAAAGAAAGAAAGAATTTTTTAATGGAGAGAGGATGGTCAATCAAACATTATATATGGAAGCTGGAAAATGAGAGAAATGTATGGAAGGAACTAGAAAACTTAACTAAAGATATTGATAAACAAAGAAGGAGAGAGAAAATGAGAAACATGAAATTCGCTCAAGAGTACAAGATATTATGGAAAGAAGGAGAAGAAAAACCTCATTATTTGAAAGATGAAGGAGTAAAGAGAAAAAACCACCTACAATTAACTGCAAGATTCAGATTGGGAAGTGAAAATAGAGCGTCAAGGTATTGGGAGGAAGAAGAAAAGAAATTATGCAGATTATGTAAAAAGGAGCCAGAGACGCTAGAACACATTTTTGAGCGATGTGGGGAAACGAGAAGTTCTGCAAAAAGTTGGAAAGCTCAACTGGAAGGAATGAACAACATGAAAAGGATGAGAGAAATCTTGTGGAAGAGAAAAATAGCAGGAGAAGAAAATTAATAAAAATTGTACTTTGTATATATAAAACATATTTTAATAAAGCTCAAATATATAACTAAAGGCTTTGATAAGCAAAAGATGAGAAAAAAACTAGAAACATAAAATTCGCACAAGAATATTAGATAATATGGACAGAAAAGACGGAAAAAACAAAAAGCAAAGAGTAAAAAGAAATTAGTTTTAACAACAAGATTTAGACTATAATGTGAAAGTAGCAAGGGACTGGGAAAATGAAGAGACGAAAATATGCAGATAGTGTAAACTGGAACTAGAGACGTTCGAACACATTTTAGAGAGATGTGGAATAACAGGAAATGGGAAAAAAATAAGATGAGAAAAATATGAATAAGGAGGAAAATAGCAGAAAAACGAGAAAGTAGAAAAAAGAAAATAAGTAAATGTAAATGTAATTGCACCTTGTATATATAAAACATAATGTTTTTAATAAAGCTATCTATCTATCTATTTTCCTCCTTTATGAATTAGCATTAATGAGATCAACTAATAATCGTGATAATATGTTTACTTATATAAATAGTATATTGTATACATTAGGGCACATAGTGCCGCATTCATGTCGTGCTACTGCTTTGCTCTTTCGTTGTCTATTTGTATGTATGATCGCATTTAGCTACTATCCGCAATATTTTCATTACATTGCTACATGCCCGGTTAGTTATTGATTTAAATACTACTGATTAAATTGACATGAGCAATTATTATGAGAAAGTATCGTACTACATATAATCATTTTAGAATTTATACATTATATTAATAGAAACATATGTACATATTAGTATTATTAGTGCATCGTGGTCCCAGCATGGTTGGAGGATCGCCATTTTAAAAAAGAGCTGCTTAATTTTTTGTTTAGGTAGGTAAGTAGTTTTTTGTCTTTTGCCCCTGTATTTCTATCCCTAAGTTGTTCTGCTCAAGTTCTATAACTGCCTAATACTCTTTATACAAATTATATGCCACTCTTCTATCTATGTATCTCATTCGTACATTTTTAAGTATATTTAACATTTTGCCCATTTAATATTGTCAAAAGCTTCTTCCAAATCTACGAATCATATGTATCCGCTCTTTCCTTTTTCTATCGTTTTTTCTATTGTTACCCGTAAAGCTAAAATTACCTCCCGCGTTTTTCTATTTCATCTAAATCCGAATTGGTCTTCTCGTAATATTTCTTTCGTCCTTCTCTGTACGATTCTAGTTAAGCTAACTTCAGCGACAAAAAAACTTTTGGGTGTTTTATTCCCACTAGCAACTAATGCTGGGCCCTCTTCAGCCTCCTTTCAGGAATCATGGGAATGGGTGGGTGGTAGTTCGGGTGAGAAAGATGAGACGGACGAAGTGAAGACAGAAGAGAATGAAAGATTATCTGTGGAATATTACTGCCCCAGTATTTGCAGTATTTGCCTAAGTGATCCCAGGAAACCACAAAAAAACTTGGACCAAAGCAGACGAACCCGGAATCGAACCGCGAAGCAATGATCTAGACCTCTAGGCCATGCGCTCGGTCCTTCAGCAGTCTGAGCCCGAGGTACTTTTACCTCACTCCTCCCCCCCCCCAACGCCGGCTCTGGTTTTTATCTGAGAGTGCTGTTTTTAGAAATACAATCATTTTGTTGTCAGGGATTGTTGTTTTACTATTTTTTTAGGCTGAAGGTTGTTTATTTTTCTCAACCCAAAATTTTAATGAACTTACCAATTGCCCACACATCAACCGCCGTTCCATATTGTGTGTCTCCCACTAGTAATTCAGGAGCCCTGTACCATCTTGTTGCTACATAATCTGTATAATTTTCTTCAGGATCTACGATTATAATCAGATTAATTTTACGTTTTGTAAGCACAAGGATGGAATATATTTGTAAGAAAAACATCATGATGTGAGCACATTTTAGTATATGTGAAATTTTGAAGAACGTGTTAAGCTATAATTGACTGTTAAATTCGACATTATAAATTAACAATTAAAAAAATTTTATTGAGGTATTCAATTTCAATATTTGATAGTGAATAGGGTTGATACGATTCCATAGCAGTAGCGATATCTTTACTTAGTAGCTACATCGAAAGTAAATATCGATATCTAGGTACTTGTATTGATATTATTGGAAATGTACAATGTGCAGAGTGGGCAAATTTCGACGTTTGTATAGATCCACTCGGTGACGACAAGAGATACAAAAAAATTAATAGAGGCTTTTCGATTTCTTGAGACAAATTTATTGGTGTTTTCAAAAAATTGCTGTCGTCTTTTGTTTTCAAATTATAAACAAAAGTTAAAAATTTCAAGTTTTGACTACATGTGCACATCTTGGTGGTTTGTAATAATAAAAAAAACAACTTTTACGTACTTTAGGAATTTGTTTACATAGAATACAGTGGTGTCGGAAAATGGGAACTATAATTGACTATGTCTTAGTTAAAAAGATAATTTTTCCTTTTATTTCAAATATATAAATATAATATGTGGGGTTGTATTCGATGGGTAAGCAGTTGATTACGAAAATAATGTTTTTGTAATTTACCCTTGCATTTTTTACATTCATTTCTAGTTGGCTTTTTTTCCACGTGATCATTTTAAAGGTTCATTCTTCCCTTATAATCTTATGTGGACAGATGAAGCCTACATTATCAGTGCTGGAATTTTCTGACATCAACTAGCACTACTGATGCGATAACGTACCATCAATATTAGATCTCAAGGAGGGTTTGATTTCAGTGTTTGGTGTGCTCTAGCAGGCAATTGTGTTTTAACTTATCATCTGTATCAAACGTATTTTAATGATTAACGGTTCTACGACATCATAAACGAGGATTTTAGCTAAAGCTAATTTTTTTATTAGATGGGGCAAAATAAAAAGTATTAGAAATATCATTTTATGGTAAAAAAAGCTTTGTTCCTGTTTTAATGCAATTTTTTGTCAAAATGTTTAAAAAATTAATAGCTTATTAAAGTTAGGGTAATTTTATATTCGAGGAGGACATGCAAGGGCAATTTGTTAACCGTAAGTCATCTTAATTAAAAAGTCGATTTAAATAAAATAACAATTTTGCGCTGCTAACTTTACCTTACGAAAAAAATATCTTTGAATCTGTTGAGCACTGATACGAGTACTTTTTATCAATACGTACTCTACTTGATTTTAAGGAATTGATATCAAATATGTTAGGTATAGAAAAAGAAAAGTTTCCAGTAAGGCCTCGTATTATTTATTTGTACTGTTTCGTCCCTAAATAAGAATTGTTTTTTAATGTTTCATTAATATATAAGTGTTTTACTGAAATAAAGTAGTAGACTCACCCCAATTATCACTAACATAATTTTATTCAGCGGACACGTATTTCACCCATTTCAATCGTGGGCATTATCATCTCGAGACTAATCCCATGTTTGAAGTGGGCGATACACGTGTCCGCTTAATAAAATTATGTTAGTGGTAATTGGGGTGAGTCTCCAATTTATTTAATTATTAATTTATCACATTCTTCCTGTTTCTATTTTGATGTGTTTTACTACCAATTTCATTATTATACTATACATATATGCATTAACTTTTTACAATTTTCCCACTTTTGCTACTTACTTAACATCCGTGCGAATCCGAAGTCACACAATTTAACTATTCCAGCAGACGTCATTAATATGTTTTCAGGTTTAATATCGCGGTGAATGCAATTGTGTTGGTGGCAATAGTTAACTGCGAGTAAAGTTTGCCATGTAATTTGTTGAGTAAGTTGCTCCGGTAATCCACGTGGATATCTCTCTAATTCATTTAAAACTGTTTTATCGCAGAATTCGAATACTAAATGAAGACGCCTTTTACGCCTAAATACTTCTAGTAAATTGACTAAATTCGGATGCTTCAGATTCTAAAAATAATATAATGAAAAGTATGATGAAAGAAGTTGCATGTTGTTATCTACGTATACAGATAATTGCTGCTAATTGTAGAAATTTATGATGTACTTATCGACGACGTTAATAATAAGTTTGGATAATATTTTTGGTAAAAAGAAATCGATAAATAACCGACCAAAAATTAAGTGTTCTAAAAATAAATAAGCATTCCGGATACGATCAATACTTTTTTTAATAAATTAATTGTCTAGTATCTGTTATATATGTTACCAGAAATCTAGGAAACGTACACAATTCCGAAATTGTTTAGAAAATTCATGAAACATTGTTTCAAAAATTTTTTTAATACACACATATCCTGGTAAATGTATACATTTTAGATATTGTATTAGGAAATGTATAAAAATGCTTTCTGTGAATAAAATGAATAAGACACGTTAATAAACTGAGAATCAGAGTTAGGTATCTGTGTTTATGCGATTTTAGTGCGGTTAGGTTAGGTTTGGAGATGTATATGCATTAGTGACATTATTGTAAGGTTATTAGGTAGATTTATGACAGACTGGAATTTCCTTAATGCCCCTTTCGAAGGCGGGCTGATACGTTGAAATAATGTCTTCGAAAAATATGCTTAATTATGATCTCCGCGCCTAACATATATTACATTACAACAGTATTAACACCTCTACAATATACTAAAAATTCGAAGTCATCATGTTTGCTGAAACAAAGATAACCTCGTCACATTATTCTAACATCTAACATATCAGCCCCGGTAGCGGCATTACAGAGACTCCTGTCTGTCATAAATCTCCCTAACCGAACAATGACGTCACCAATAGGATATAGGTACAACTCCAAATAGCGTGCTGTATTATTGCCTATTTAGTATTACCTGTAATACATTTTCGTTTGCTATTTAGGAAATGTATAGATTTCCTAGGAAACGTGTCTAATAAGATTTATTTCACACATTTCCAGGCGATTTTAGGAATTATGTACATTCTCTAGGAATTGTATACATTGACGGATTTCATACATTTTCGGCAAATATATACAAAAGAATGTTGTCTCACTTGCTGAATAAACACGTTGACCATTTATATAATCTCTTTTTAAACAAAAAAAGATAACATGTGGCTAAAGTAGATAGTTTGATGTGTTTTGCTTTATAATGTTTCATAAGATAAAATTGTTTGGACTGATTCAGTTTTTAACAAGAGTACATAGAAATAATGCTGAACATTAGACTTTCGAGTTTTTAGGATTATTTTTATGTATCTACCTAAATACTCTTGATCCTTTATTGTTTAGGCTTTTTGAAAAAATGTTTCACAATAAGGTTACCAGTAACATAAAGTTTTTGTAAAATACTACAGTTAGCAGTAAATATCTTTAGATGATAACATATCTCTCTAGATGTTAAATGCTTTTAATAAATAGGAAACAATTTTTTCAATAACCTCGTTTGTTTTATTACAAAAGAGAAACCCTTAACAACTGTTTCACAAAACTTTGATTTTGTCACATTCATTTCCATAGTTGTTAAACTAATCGTAAGTTAAATGTTGGTCCGGCACTACTTAACATTTTATGCTTTATGGTCTTTAGAATAGTTTTTAATTATCAGCTCTTGAATATTGTTTCGACTCGTTAAGTCTTCATCTTCATATAGCGATATTATACTAATAAGCAGTTGTAAATCTTAAATGTAAAAGAGAAGTAGGTGGTTGAGAATTGACAATTTTATTATAAGTAGCATTCCATTAAGGAATAGCAGAAACGTTGTTTTCCATTGGTTATATCTTATTTAGACTTTAGTGCTCTTTTTAAGTTTTTATTTGACGTCTCTTCCACTGAAGTTAATATGGGGTAGAATTTGGCACACACGTTTCGTTCACGTGACAGAACACGATTTCTTAAATGCCGCCATGTTTTATCCAATATGGTGGACGTAATAAAATTGTGATGTATAATTTTCATAGTAAACCCTATGGTATGGTTATCAAATGAAAGAGCTTGATAATCGAAACACAATAAGTAATGTGACGTTATTTTAAATCCAATATGACGGACGTCACAAAATGGCGATTTATAGGTTTCTTTTGATACCTGATTTATTGATGCAATTCCTAATAAGTAGTAAAATTTATGTGAAAATGGTCGTAACAAGTTTTAAATCTCTTAAAAATGTTGATAAATACTAGATACAATAATGATTGTAAAATTTTAAAAGAATAAAAAGTATAAAACAAAATTACATATTAAAAAATTGCTTAAAAAAAGCTTTTATTTAACAATAAAATATAATAATATCATCATCATCATCATAAGGTCGTAAGTCCTAAGACTGGTTGGACACGCAACTTCACTCTCTCCTATACTGA